CGGGAAACCGTCATGGGTGCAGCGGTCTCAGTATACCGCGAGCTGTAGCTCACGATATACTGAGCTTTGGGTGACGGGAGGAGGTTAGTATATGTCCTTCCGTGACCCTTAAGAGAACTATGGGGGAAAACACTTACCCCATAGTTCTCCTTTAATGTCCCTCATTTGCCTTGTGGGAAACCAAAATCCATGAAACGTCCAGGATAGGTTTGGGAGGTCGAAAACTTAGGTTGTGCAAAGTTTCAAGATTAAGGTTTGTAAACATTAGGTTATATTAACTACCTCCCGGCCAGCCGCTGTGTATACACGGCCTGCCGGGAGCTTCTTGGATGTAACTGGGCGTGTATACACGTCCTGTTACATCCGCCCGCTCGGGCACGCCACGCGGTGCGCGCGAGCGGGAAATCCCCGCTATTTGAAAACAGGCAGCGATGCCTGTTAATATACAAGCGATCCGCCGTCTATAGAGCCGGCGGATCGCTTGTATGAAGCCCCGAGACGTGCGCCCCTCCGCGGCTCTCCCCCTCCCCCCCTCCCGCTGTCAAGCTGGTCCCGGGCTCCGGTGTGAGCCCGGGACCAGCATAGTGCCTCTGTCACAGGGGATCAGAGGGAGCTCGGTACACGAGAATTCCAGTCTCCCCGCTCCGATCTGCCAGCGCTGACTGGCGGAACGGACGGGGGAGGGGGCGGGTACAGCTGGCTCTGCCTCTAGATAGGCAGAGCCAGCTGTCACTCACGCAGCTGGGCGGATCCCGTCATCTACGTCAAGATCCGCTCCGGCTGCGGCGTTTCAGCTGTAGCTCGCGGAAAACTGAGCTTTGGGTAACGGGAGGACGCTAGTTTGTGTCCTCCCGTTACCCTAAGGAGAACTATGGGGGAAAACACTGACCCCATAGTTCTCCTTTAAAGCCATTTTCACATTAAATGTTTTAGGATGTCCCATTAATCTGCAATATATTGGAACTTCCTAATCCTTAGATGTGGAGGCTGCATTAGTTTTTCAGACTCTATGTACTTTATTATCCCCCAGTGATTCTGCCAGTAACACACTTCTTGTCCTAAGGTGACAACTCTCACTCCTTGACTGTAGGGTGTATATAGAGGACCAGCTGTGTTACCCTAGGACAGGAAGTGCGTTGGGACGACTAGCTCCATTTCCCCTCTTCTCCATAATATTGGGGGAAGGTGGTGTGTGGTTAAAGGAGTTGTAAAGTCCCAGCATACACTATCCTGTTATAACATTGTAATAGGAATACATAGTAGAGTTGTTTTTCATAATGCAATCAAAGCTTACATGAAAAAATCCCTTTTATGAAGTGAGTGCTGCCTTCTGTCTGCCAACTTCCTGAATTTCCAGTTTGCATTGCGTCTCTTTCCCTGCTGCTTGATGTGGTGCAATCTCGATTTCTTAAGACTCAATATGCCGTCATGCTGTTCAATACAGGGCCGTAGCGAGGGCAAGGCAATTGAGGCTCTCGCCTCAGGTGCTGGGGGGGTTGCAGCCATCAGGGAGAAGTGGGGCGGCACAGGTCTGCACAGAGGATCACCACATATCACTGAGTGATATGTACTGGTCCTCCGCCGCTCGGCCACGCATAGAGCACAGCCTGCAGCTTCTCCTCTGGATCCCCGCTGCTCTCCCCCCATCTGTATGCAGTGGGGATTCAAGGAGAAGTAAAGCACTTCAGCCGGCGGAGGAGGGGGGGCGGAGGAGGGAGAGAGCCGCTTGGCAAGGATCTGACAGCCAGCGGCTCCCTCCTCCGCTCCCCCTTCCGCTGGAGTGCTTCACTTCTTCTTGGATAACTGCTGCATACAGACGGGGAGAACAATGGGGATCCAGAGGAAAAGCTGCAGGGTGTGATCTGTGCGTGGCCAAGCGGCGGAGGATCGGTACATATCAGTGATATGTACCGATTAGGGATGCACAGATACTTTTCGAGTACCAGTGCAGATACTTGGCATTTTCATGAGAACTACCAGGGTTGCAGCGGTTGGCGCTCCACCACTGTCCTGAAATCATTAGTCTGTATTGTTTTAGAAAAACTGTCAGATGACAATAAACAAAAATGTATCAGTACTCGTACTTGTAAGTACTCGGCAAGTACCAGTACTCGTACTCGCAAAACTGGTATCTGTGCATCCCTTTATTTATATTTATAAAAACAAAATCATACATTAAAACAGGGATGTACAAATGCCAGGAGCTCCGTGTGCCCCTTACAAATGACAGCTGCCTCCTAATTTTTGAATTTTTCTCTAGTCTAGTCTTGGAGCTCAAAAGTATCGGTACTTGTACTCGTACCGAGTACTGTACTTGGTATCTGTGCAACCCTAGTACCGATCCTCTGTGCAAAGCGAACGCTGGAGCGATCAGCTGATCACTCCAGTGTTTGTAAATAACAGGGGACACATAGTACTATCTGTCCCCAGTTATGAATGAACAGGAAGTGCTTTACAATGGGGTTGTTGAGTTTCTCAATGGGGTTGTAGCACTCAGTACAGAGGCTCCTCCCTATTCAGACACTGGATGATAGTAAATATCTTCTGAATGAATGGGAAGCCTCTGTACTTTCCATTCATTTAGAACAGAGGTTGCAGAAAAAAAGATAGAGGACCTCAATTTCTTTTTCTATTTTAAAAGATAAATGTCTGGGTTCTGTTTAGACCCCTAATATTTCAGGAGGCGGGCGCATTTTTAGTTCTTGATCAGAGATACCATTTAATAGAGCTAAACTGCTGGGGCTGAGACAAGGTCTTGAGATAACAATGCGGTGCGCACAGGACAGCAATGATCAACAGGTTATTGAATAGATATAAGAAAACACTTTCAAAAGAGAGCAAATTGTTAGGGTGTACATACACTTTAAAATAAAAGAGGAGAACCTTCTAGTTTTAGCACAGATGCATGGTTTGCTGAGTCACTGAGAACCTAAAACAAGCATGCAGGTCAGGAGTTCTGACCTGCATTCACCTTGACTTTCTAATTTGCATGCTTGTTCTGGGTCAGTTACCCTAAAAGTAAATCCGCCTTTAAGTCCCCCTCATATTTCTCAGTAAAGTCTCCCTTTAAAGGACACCAGGTACCGAGGAAGTTAAAAGGCTGCTATTGCTGAATACCCCTTCATTAGCTGTCATGCTGATCCAATGGCTTCGTTACATTCTAGCTCACTGAACTGTAACGAGTATTTCCATCAAGAGTTCTTTTGTCATTTACTCCCCCGCCCTGCTCAGGGGAAGCCACATAGTGCTATACTTTGCTTCAGCCTTGTTCCAGAGATCTCCACTTTGTGGCCCTGTTCAGCTTTTGCACAAAAAATGTTCTGGCCATGTCTGTTTAATACTGCATATGCACACGGCTCGCCCCATTTATTGGCGGTGGCCCCAGTTATTTAGAGGGGTACGGCCTCAGGAATAGGAATCAATGGGGTGAGTGGTGTGCACATGCAATAGGTGAACGGCACCGGCTGGACTCTCGAAGGCTATGTGGTGCCAGGGAGAGCCACACACTCTCAGGAGCAGGGCTGAAGGTTAGTGTTTAGGTAGACAACTTTCACTGAAGTGGGGGAGAATTTTAAAGAGCAGCTTCACTAAATGTGTAGTTGTCCTACGCCTTCACCTTCGCGACATCTCCAAAATACGCCCCTTCCTCACCAATGAAACCGCATTACTCATCTACTCCCTTGTTATATCTCGTCTTGACTATTGCAACTTCTGACCGCTACACAGGCTATCCCCCCTTCAGTCTATCATGAATGCAGCTGCAAGACTCATTCACCTAACCAACCGCTCAGTGTCTGCAACCACCCTCTGCCAATCCCTGCACTGGCTTCCAATAGCTCAAAGGATAAAATTGAAAATTTTGACAATGACTTACAAAGCCATCCATAACTCTGCCCCCGGCTATATCTCAAACCTGGACTCAAAGTATCACCCTATCCGTCCCCTCTGCTCTGAAAAATACCTTCTGCTTTCCAGCTCCCTCATCAACTCTTCCGATGCTCACCTTCGGAACTTCACTAGAGTCTCTCCCATCCCCTGGAACTCTCTACCCCAACCTGTCCGACTATCTCCCACTCTGACTGCCTTTAGCCTATCCCACCTCAACCTAACCACTCAACCATCACATTCTCAGACAATTCATCCACACACAGCTACCTCCTCATGCATCACTTGCCCCTCCCTTTTAGATTGTAAGCCCTCTGGGGCAGGTCCCTCCTAACCATCGTGCCTTGAATTGTATTGTGATTTTAATGTCTTCCTTATATTGTAAAGTGCTGCGCAAACTGTTGGTGCTATATAAATCCTGTATTATAATAATAATAATAATGGTTGTCCTTTAAGCGCCTTACATAAAGATGACCACTAGAGGGAGCATTTACACATAAGTATATGAAATATAATAATCGAAATATGGAACAGAAAGCGAATACAAATGCAAATGTTACATTACTAATAACTTCTGAGTCTGCGTTACTATTATAACTCAGAGCAGCATCATAGTTTCCCCTTAATTCTCTTAGAAGAGCGTGAATCTGTGTCTATAGGGTATCCCTTTCTAGGTGTCAGTGCAATTGGTGCACCAGGCTAAGCTGAAGCTATTGAGCCGGTTCAGCTGATGTGACAATCCCGAGTACATTCAGAATCAGCATTTCACTGTGGCAGAAGCGCCGTAGCATAATGCAGCAGCTCTACTCGCAGAGACGGGAAAAACACACACTGTTATGTGTCTCCCACAATAATTAAAATGCATCTGCAATGCTGTGCAAAGCATAGACAAGGCAGCAGGGGTGACTGGGGGGTTAAAAAAAACAAAAACCTTACAGTCGGGCATATCGCAGACGAGCCATCGCCAAGCTCCTGGATTTCGGGGGCTGCAGATTTTCACCCCATTTGCAGTTAATTGGAATGCAATGAAAGGCATATAGAGGGCAAGCGGAAACTAAGGAGGGAATGTTACTAGTGGCCCAATGGCCATAAATAAAATATGGAATATTAAGTACCTGTGTGTTCGCCGGCATGCAGAAGCGCAGAGTCTGATCGTTGCCCGCCGTGCGATCCGTCCGTCCTCGTCTGAATTCCTGTTGAGAGCAGAATATTTGAAGAGCGGGGGGGTTAGCCTGCACCTCTTCTTTTTTTTTTTTAATTTCTTGTTCACAAGTCCTGTTGCAATCATCGGTCACTTGCAGCATCTATGACAGCGCGGCGGGTGCGCCAGAGGGTCTCATCACTCTCCCTCAGCATTGTATCGGGTGTCCTGATCTTATAATGTCACTGTCACTTCTGTAACTGAGACACTCCACCCCGCACTGCTGCCAGCACAGGAAACTTTGCAAGAGCAAGGACTGATCACAGACCTATCTTGTGCTGACAGTCCTCTCCACTCCTCCTCCCCCCCCCCCAGGCCAGCCAAGGGTGCTGTGTGCAAGAGCTGCAAGTGATGAAGGCGGCAGTGCAAGATCAAGTTTTGTGACAGTCAATCCCCCTGAGGGTAACACATGTCCTTCCCCTTAAGCCAGTCCCAAGCTGCTGCACTGCCTCCTCTCCTTGCTGCATCCCATGTGCCGCTGACCCCCCTCTGATTCTCTATCCAGCTGCAGGTCCTGCCTGCATATTAAGCTGCTCTTCCACACGACATTTCCTCCGCTGTGCTGGGGGCGTCCTGGGTAGTGTAGTTTTCCATGGCTGCTGGCAGTTCTGCACTAAATAATTGCAATGGTTTTCACACTGTGGTGGCGAAGGGAAGTCTGCCATGGTTGTAAATCTCTAAATAGTAACATTGTGACATTGCAGCAGAGTAGAGGGGGTTATCTCTGCAGATGCATGATGGCTGCAGGGTAGTATTCACAGCTCTACCAGATGCTAGAGCTTTACTACAGGGCATATGCCCCGGGTCTACTATGGTGTGACCCAAAAAAAATACTATGGACTGCCCTCCTGGACTATTACAGAGTGATCCTGGTCTAGTACGGAGTGCCCCTCCCCCCATTATGGAGCAAATCTGGCCTATTATGGAGTGACCCTGCCCCCTATTATGGAGTGAATCTGGTGTATTATGGATTGACCCTGGTCCACTATGGAGTGACTTGGGTCTATTACAAAGTGCCCCTGTACTATGGAGTGACCCCGGTGTACAACAGAGTCCCCACAGTATATAACGGAGTGCCCCCCTCCCCCCAGTTTATTACAGAGTAACCCCCCCCGGTTTATTACAGAGTGACTCCCCAGGTCTATTACTGAGTGCCCCTCTGGTCTATTATAGAGTGACCCAGGTCTACTATGAAGCGCCCCCCAGTCTATTACGGAGTGGCCCTGGTCTATTATGGTGTGACCCCAGTCTTGCACTACTTTTTTCACCACAACACACAAAACGCAAGGTATTGCGGTACCACGCGCTGTGCTGGAGGTGGCTAGGAGCTGGCCAGGAGGTGCGCTCGGGTGCCATTCAAATGAAGCAACACCCCTAGTGCATGGTAATGCGCACTAGGCGCGCTGTATGATAGCGTGCGTTAATCACGCTTGCGATTATTGCAACACTATGGTGTCATTGGGCCCAAAGGGTTTTTGTATTACATACATTAACCTGATAAATCTGAATTTTTTAATAGAAAATTACACCCCCAAACAATGATTTACCGTATTTCCTTAGGGCTAGTTCACACCAAAACTGCATCAGAACCGCATGCATCTGCAAAGCTGCGACGCAATGCATTTTGCCGCGATGTTACCACAATTGATCAGTTTTTTGTTGTTTTGGGGGGGGGGTTTGTGCTTAAATTGGATTTCAGGTGCGTTCCGATGCATTTTGATGCGTTCCGCCACGATCCGATGCAGCTAAAATAGGGCAAGCAGTATTTGTTCTGGCCGCATCGGAATGAACTACTCTGGTGTGAACAGAGCACAAGAAATACCATAGGGAAGCATTGTAATGCACTTTTGATGCAGCTGCAAAATGGAACGGACTGCATCTGGTGTGAACTAGCCACTACACTTTGCCCTGTGACCTGTATATAGCTCACCATGCAGCTAAACCCTCCTATTCTGAACAAATCAGGGTGGGGTGAAACTGGTAAAAGAACATAGAAACATACAGACAATATATGAAACATGTAAACGTAGTGTCAGCTCACAAATACAAACAACATCAACAAACAAGGACATCTATACCAGCCATGCTGTCTAAAAGGGATTTGGGAGCTTTCCTCCAGACACCTGCTGTAGATGGCAGTGGATTCTCTTCTCCTCAGTCCCAAAATGGACGCTGAACTCCCAAGATGCTCGTTTCCTTCTCTTTGGGCAGAGGGATGCCAGCAGGTTTTTTTTAATATTAAAGGAAAGCAGTCTAAACCACTGTAAATACAGCTCCATCTTGTGGCTGACTTTGATATTGCAGGTAGATAAACCTTTCTTATGTCCGAGGCAGAACAATATAATACCAATTTTCTTATATAATACAAACGATACGTTGTATTATGTACAGGGTCATGTCGAGTAAATAGATACCAGACATGTCAAGCCTTAAGATTGTGTGCGCCTGTGCAATGGCACTCAAAATTGTTCATATATGACGCTTTAAAAGCTTCTACTACTTATCAGTTTAGAAAGATCGCTCTTAGGCCTCATTCACACGAGAATCGTCCGGCAGGTACAGCTCTGTGCTGCGTGCACGGCCGTATCAGGCAGCTCCTGGGAAGGACAGGTGCTGCGAGTGATTAGTACGCAGCCCGCCGTCCTTCTCTATGGGAGTACGCGGCCGTATGCCGCCCTACGCTCACCCCAAGTGCAGGTCCGTACGGGTGCAGGTGTCCCTGCTCAGACGCAGACAGGATCTATCCTGTCGGCGTAAGAGTACAGACACCTGCACGGACGTGCAGGGCGTCGTACGGCCGCGTACTCCCATAGAGAATGACAGGGGCTACGTACTAATCACACGCAGCACCTCTCCTTCCCGGGAGCTGCACGATACGGCCGTGCACACAGCACGGAGCTGTACGCACTGGCCTTTTCTCGTGTGAATGAGCCCTTACTCTGATGTTTGCAATGATACCTAACATGTGTGATACAGTCACTGTTTACATACATGGTGCATGTTTGCATTCAAGCAGATGGTGAGGGTGGCGGGGTTGCTTTTATATTTTTTTTTATTCAATTTTTTTTTTATTCTTTAATTTTTATTAACATTGATATCAAAAGGGGGTTAACAAGGCCCCATGTGATAGCATTGGCAGGTGACAGGTTCTCTTTATAGAGACATCAGTGACATATTAGACCTCTCATGTCTCCCCTGCCCTTCAATGCAGACGAGCAAGCACAGAATTGTCCTTGAACTTCTGTTTACCTGGCATCTCAGCCAGGCTTCCTGCTTCAGTGATCACAGAGCAGATGGGGAACAGACATTCCTCAGTCTGCTCCCACTCTCCATCCTGACACCTTTTGTGGTGGTCCCAGGCCCCCCAGTGATGGGGTGCCCCGAGCAGTTGTACTCTAAAGCAGCAGCCATGATTTTGGCAGAACCACTTCAGAACCAGGATTTATATACTCCAGTATGGACTGTGGTCTCTCCCCATTACTGACTTACCATCTTGTTCTGCACTGTGCGGTACCACGCGCTGTGCTGGTCTCTCCCCATTCGGGTGCCATTCAAAGCCCTGCCTTTACCAAGATGGCTGTGTGTGAACACAGCCATCTTGGTAGAGGCAGGGCTTTGCTTCCTCATGCCATAGCCTCCAGCAAGGATTGTCTTGTTCTGCACTGTGTCTGTGTGAACACGGCCATCTTGGTAGAGGCAGGGCTTTGCTTCCTCATGCCATAGCCTCCAGCAAGGATTGTCTTGTTCTGCACTGTGTCTGTGTGAACACGGCCATCTTGGTAGAGGCAGGGCTTTGCTTCCTCATGCCATAGCCTCCAGCAAGGATTGTCTTGTTCTGCACTGTATCCCTGTGTGAACACGGCCATTTTGGTAGAGGCAGGGCTTTGCTTCCTCATGCCATAGCCTCCAGCAAGGATTGTCTTGTTCTGCACTGTATCCCTGTGTGAACACGGCCATTTTGGTAGAGGCAGGGCTTTGCTTCCTCATGCCATAGCCTCCAGCAAGGATTGTCTTGTTCTGCACTGTGTCCTTGTGTGGAAGCAGCCATTTTGGTAGAGGCAGGGCTTTGCTTCCTCATGCCATAGCCTCCAGCAAGGATTGTCTTGTTCTGCACTGTGTCCTTGTGTGGTAGCGGCCATTTTGGTAGAGGCAGGGCTTTGCTTCCTCCTGTCACAGCCTCAAGGCAAGGAGAACTGTGAGCAGTACAGTAGTGACATCACCAAATCTCCTGAGACTAGCAGTCAGAGGCAGCAGTGCCTTAGATTTCACACTGCAGATATATAACTATGAGGTTGCATATACTAGGCAGGTCAGATAGAGTCTGCCTCATTTCCTGGCTGGAGGATGTTCAGCATCATCTAGCTTCATCTTTCCTCCCAGTCTGACTGTCCATGGCCCACCCCTTTCATTCATTAGGTTTCAGTCCAATCATGGAGGCTCATTTTTACATGTGGGTGCTACCTTGAGTGGTTTTCATGCACATGCATCCTGCTTAGGAACACCCACAGATTGACACCCAACATTTTATGTAACTCCTCCCAAGAGCCGGGCCACTGCTTGCATCAGGGATGATGGCTCCTGAGAGGAGTACTGAGGCTGGGTGCTGTAATGTTTCCAGGAAGCTATATACAGCATCCTGCTGGCCCTCACCACCAGCCATAATCTGCCTGCATTGCATCGAGAAGCACAGAGACGCAGTGATGACATCACAGTTTCTAAAATAAGGTATGCAAAGAAAATGGAAAGGTTTTATTTAAAAGTGTAAATAGCAGGTTGATGAGGAGGGGGAGGAGGAAGCAGCGAAGGGAAAATAAAACTTCAGCTTCAAGGGAAGAAAAAGAAACTATAACCCCAGATCTGAGTGTAAAAATAATTTTTTAGTACTGGTGAAAGACAATCCCAAGGTTCAAATTCTTTCTGTCTGGGAACTATGGTGTAATTATGGTGGAAGCCAGATACATTTGGGGGTCCTTCCGACTGTCAGTGCAAAGCAACTGAATACATAAGATGGTAGTTGAGATCAACTGCAAG